ACAACCCGGATTAGTATGGATTTGGATTCATATAAAAATCCATTTGGATCGAATAATAAATTTTAATTTAGATTTGGGTTATTTGGATTGGTTTTTAGATAATTAAAAAACTCAAATAAAACCCAAATTTTTTCTTACATATATTATATTAGTATATATCTCAATATAAATGTAAAGTTGCATAAATCAAAATTAACAGTTTACGAGTAATCTTGTAAGTATATGTAAAATTACTTATATCAATAATAACAATATACTATTAACATTTTCAGTATACGTAAATTTACTTAATTTTACTTTTAACCCTAATGATAAGTTAACTAAACTTTTAGTATAAAAGAAATCATCGATAGAAATTTGAAGAATACTTTCAAACCTCTCCAAATAACCCAAATAAAATTAATTAAAATTTTTTTGTTAAAATTATTTGTGTTCCAAACAATTTAAACTCAATTCCAAACGTAAAAAATCCAATCCAAATTTAAATTGGATTGAATTTGGTACAATAATTTTTAATCTAAATAACCCAAACCCAATCCAAAACCTAAAAGATCCAATCCAAATTTTAGTTGGATTGAATTTGTTACAATAATTCTTAATCTAAATAACCCAAATCCAATCCAAAATCTAAAAGATCCAATCCAAAACCCAGTTTGGCCACCCCTAATATATACCATGTTGTTTAAATCACACCTCAGATAAATATTCAATAACAAATTTGTACCCGTGAATAGAGTTCTTTTTGGTTTGATTTTTCGAACTTCCTCTAACGCCTGGAGGAAGAAAAAACATTGACAATGAAAACGTGAATGTAGTGCTGGGAAATAAGTTAACGAGATAGGAACAAAAGTACGACCGATTTTGTTTACAAGAAAAAGAAATAGGAAGCAAGCTACGTACCCTTGGGAGGCCAAAGTGTGTTGCTGAAGAACGATCAGGCCTCAAAGCATCCTGTGTAGAGAGAGGAAGAACGATGTTTCTTGGATAAGAAGCTATTTGTGTTGAAGAAAGAACAATAGACGCGAAAGGTGAGAGAGTTACCATGATTAGCAGATCGCAGTCTCTAAGGAGCGGGTAAGTTTCTTCCGGTATGTCACTGACATCGCTGCATATTTTACAGAACCGTAACTAAAGACTCTGATATTCATGGCACAAAGAAGTAGAAGGAGGTGTGTGTTTGTTTACCTTATGTAGCAGACGTTACCAAACCGGAAACCAAGGGAACGGTAGTTACTGCCATGCCAAACCGGTAATGGGATGATCTGAGACAGTTAAAAACATTCATTTCATGCCAAATGCAACAACAAGATCACAGTTTTTTTGTACCCGTGAAACAGAGATGTAGAAGTACTATTGGTGATTATTAGCCGGTAATAAAAGTTACCTTTAGATCGTTTACCACGAATGGCTGATCCTCGTGAATGATTTTAAACTCTAGCTCTGAGACTGCAGCGCCGGGTATGATCACACTCGTGTCAACCAAGTAATAGTGGGTCTTTTTCATCACCTGAGATTCACATGTCACAATATAGAGCCTTTAGCTACTGAAATAGTATTGTGAGAGTTAAGGGAAATATGCTGGAGTGTTGGTAAAACAGGTAAAACCTCGAGATCACGCATAGCAGTGTAAATTGGAATATGAGGTTGGACATTGTTAGTCCAATCACGGAGATCATCAAGACCTGGAGAGCAACAAACAAAACATTGGAGAAGAAAATATCAATTAAAGAGACAACACATGAGTTTACAAGAGAAAGAAACATGGAACAAGAAAATTGATGGATAGGCAAGATTTAACTTGTCAGTTTCAGAGACCTCCAATTGCATCAGCATGAGAATGAGTAATTACAACTGCATCAAGCGTTCTTAGCCTGACAACAACAAAAATCACAAACAGATATTATGGGGATGGCCATAGAACCAACGATAAAAACTTAGTGTCACGAAATTCTTAGAAACAGCCAGTGATAAACAGAGAGTCTAATTGAGCATATGTTTTCAAAGTATAACAAATGACAACAAGTTTGTACGAAGCATAGGAATCTAATACGAACTCTTATAGAAATGAATGTTTTGACAACTGAATGCATTCATGGTTGATGGGAAAAAAAAACGAACCCGAAGGTGGGAAACCATCGAAGGGCACTATGGTAGAAGAACCTGCAAACACAAAGGCGTCAAAAAGTCATCACTTTCTAATGTCAACACTTGCCACAATCAATCATCCATTGGTACTACTAGAAGAAAGATACAAAGCGATAAATGGAATCACATTCGCATTACTCATCTCATCCCACTTACTTGCCACAATCGATTAGTATGTTACTTGTTCCGGATGGTCTAATATACCGAACAAGGATGCTGGTGTTAAGTCTCCTGTTTCTGTTTCCAGGTTCTGTTGCCTTTGTACATACCTAGAAAGAATAAAAAATGGATACTTCTATCAATGGCATTCCAATCAAAACCATAC